AAATATATTAAATGCAATAACTAGTTATTTCAATATGATCGACCAAATTTCCTTCCTTTGATCTCAAAACATCTGCGATTTCATTACATGCAAGTTAACCGACTTGTATTTGATGAGGAATTTATGCCATACGAATTCAAAAGATTAGATGAAAATTTATGTTTAATCTATCAATAATGTTTAGATTAATGATATAAAATATTGATTGTTATCAATCATACATCACTTTTAATTATTTCAACACAAACCAAACTGCTGTTTTAATTTCCATTCCACTTTTTAACTATACACTAAAAATGTTACTAATCACTTTAACCTATTTTAATACTTAAACACTTCTTATCAAACACTATCGATATATCATCGACAAATTTATTTTTTAGCCGGTATTATTTTTCTTAAATTTTTTTCAAAATTTCCCGCCTACGTGCTCTACGTTTCGTAGCCAGACGGCGACTGACTGAACGCTACGCTTTCGAAAAGGAGTTTTCATACAATATGCAACGGGCCGGCGCCCTACGCACGTGTATATATGTATGTATACATATATATACATGTATGTATATATATCTATACATATATGTATACATATCTATACATAAATGTATATAGTATATGTATGAAAGAAAGCGCGGGAGTGTGTTTGTGACTCGAAAATACACAGAGATAAGGGCAGGGATGGTCGAAGGAAATAAAAAAAGATATATCTTCTTATATATAAAAATGAATCGCAAAATGTGTTGGTAAGCGCATAACTCAACAACGCCTGGACCGATTTGGCCAATTCTTTTTTTAAAATGAGAAAAAATCGAATAATTGCCGAAAAACCCCTAAAAACAGCCCTTTTCTTTTTCTCATACAAACCTTTTCTAACTGAAACGTAGAATCAATTTGAGCTTTGTTGCTATTATATAAAGTTCATATTAAATTACAAACACTCACTGTATACTCCTTCTAAACGATTATTCGGATTTTGATAAATCTTTCTGAAGTTTGTTAAAGAAATTTTCTAGGATGTATGTGGTTATAAAGTACTGGGATGCATGTGCAATATTGTAGAAATAAACGGAAAAATGCAAAACGACATGTCATTGTTTGCATTGTAAACAAATGAAAACTACCAGCCAAAAATTTCAATTTACTTGTGAACCTAGACAATATAGAATATGCATAATAAATTTATGATTATAAATAAGAAACATGAAATGTCTGCATTATTATTGCCGAGATGCAATAGCTGCATTAAGGCAGCTGAGATGATAGTTGCTGAGATGATGTGCCAGAAATTAAAATAATATAAAATACAGTATATGTATGGCAGATTGAATGATACACCTATGAACAAGATATGACAAATTAATTCACTTAAAATATGGAATTAAGTATTA